ATCAAAGCCCTCGGAGGCAGGCTTACTTCAGATCTTAATTGCCTTGCACAATGCAAGAGTAGGTACTTCCATCTTAATTGAATTTCTACTTCCCATAAAAATTGTTCATGGTGCCTTAATTTAGTCATTATTACACCTCACCGCCAGTTTTGTAAGCACAGCGTCATTTAAGGTGTTGAAAAGTTTGAGTTTGATGATGAGATGTTTGATAGGATGATTTTAGTATATCCCTAATGATTACAAGGCTGTGGTATTGATTCCCTTCAAATCTGGCATCTAAGTAAAGGTCACATTCACAAGAAGGGCTTAACTGAAAGCATGTAGAAGCATCATTATAAACTGTTGCTAACACACGCAAATAAAGGCTATTCCAGTAGGTATTGTTTTTTCTTTTTCTTTTTCTTTTTTTTTTTGAGACAGAGTCTCACTCCGTTGCCCAGGCTGGAGTGCAGTAGCGCCACCTCTGCTCACTGCAACCTCCGCCTGTTTTTCAATAACACCTTAGTTAAGTATACAACTCCAGTCAAACGAAACTAGAAGTCAGTCTGTTCTTCCATTTTACTTGCTGTTTTATGTCATTTAAAAGCAATGTGGTTTTCAAACTTTTTAAAGCCACAGCTTAACCAGGAGTCCCTTTAATAAGAGCAACTGTACCTTTGTGAATTAGAGGAATGCCACATAATATATATATTTTATATATTTTATAAATATAAATTTATGAATATAATGTGTGTGTGTGTGTGTGTATATATATATATAGTTTGTTTGAGGTGGAGTTTTGCTCTTGCTTGCCCAGCCTGGAGCACAATGGCGTGATCTCAGCTCACTGCACCTCTGCCTCCCAGGTTTAAGCGATTCTCGTACCTCAGCCTCATGGGTAGCTGGGATTACAGGCGCCCACCACCAAGGCCAGCTAATTTTTTGTATTTTTAGTAGAGACAGGATTTCACTGTATTGGCCAGGCTGGCCTTGAACTCCTGACCTCAGGTTATCCGCCTACCTCAGCCTCCCAAAGTGCTGAGATACAGCTGTGAGCCACCGCACCCGGCCTATTTATATATTTTTTGAGACATGGCCTCATTCTGTTGCTGAGATTGCAGTGCAGTGGCGTGAACATGGCCCACTGCAGCCTCGACCTCCCTGGATCAAGTGATCCTCTTATATAGCTGGGACCACATGTGTCACCATCCCCAGGGAATTTTTAAATTTTTTTGTAAAGATGAGGCCTCACTTTATTGCCCAGGCTGGCCTCAGAACCCCTGGGCTCAGGTCATCTCCCACGTTAGCCTCCAAAGTGCTGGGATTACAGGTGTGAGCCACTGTGCCCAGCAATATATTGTTTAAAAAGCTTTCTTGCTGCATGTTTACTATCAGTCTTTTGCAGTCTTTCAGGGTCAACACTGTACCCCAATATAAAGTGTTAACTTCTTACCTATTTCACTGGAACCATGGTAGATTGAATGTGTGTGGGGAAAAGCTTTTTGTGGTTTTGGAAATATGCAAAATGTTACTTTTTTGATACGAAGGTAATAGTAGTTGAAATGCTTTTGAAAGTTGCTTGCCAGGTGCAGTGGCTCACGCCTGTAATAGCACTTTTGGGAGGCCTAGGTGGGCAGATGATGAGGTCAAGGGATCAAAGACCATCCTGGCCAACATGGTAAAACCCTGTCTCTACTAAAAATACAAAAATTAGCTGGGTGTGGTGGCACCATGCCTGTAATCCCAGCTATTCAGGAGGCTGAGGCAGGAGAATCCCTTGAACCAGGGAGTCTGAAGTTGCAGAGAGCTGAGACTGTGCCACTGCAATCCAGCCTAGTGACAGAGCGAGACTCTGTCTCAAAAAAAAAAAGTTGCTTGCCATTTCAACACTAAAGACGAGTTTTTTCCACTCATTAGGCATTTTGATTTCTATCCTCACATATATTAATGGAGAATTTTAAATCCCCAATTATCACAGTTGAAAACACAAGCTGGTGGTGCACCTGTAGTCCCAGCTACTCCGAAGGCTAAGGCAGGAGGATTATTTAAGTCCAAGAGTTCGAGTCCAGCCTGGGCAACATAGACCCTGGCTCAAAACCAAAAAGACTTAAAAAGTTTTCTTGCTAAAAATAAAAGTTTGAAAACAATTGATAAAATCTAGTCTCTTCATTTTACACAAAATAACTAAATATCCTGGGTGCTGTATGAATTATATGAAAAAATCTTTCCCCTTAATCTGAATGTTTCCTTTCACTTAATAAATGAAGCATCACTTGGTGATTTTAAAATCAGTTTATTTTATTCATTATTCTTAATATTTAAGGAAAGTATTGTAAATTGGAAAAATAAAAATGTACCTTCTGCTACATTAAAAAAGCATTTTTATCCCACTAAAAATTGTAACAAGCTCTGCATGATTTTGTAAAAATAAAAACATGAAAGTTAACAGAAGCATTTAGAATGTCAAATTATCACAACATCTTAGGGAGGTGGTGGTGGTGGTGGTGGTGGTATTACTTCTTGACTGGGATTTACAACATGATTACTAATACAGTTAACACTCAAGGAAATATCTGATACAGAGAATTACTTCTACATTGTGGCATTCCAGAGGGCAAAGACTATATTATTCATCTTTGAATAGTCAAATTCTAACACAGTATTCGGAATAACAGTAAGTGTTAAATAAGCATTTGTTGTATTGATATGTTTCTTTTATAATTAATAAGTTCTTGGTAATTTATTATACAATATTTTCTGGTTATTGTTCAAAAGTATATTAGGAATTATCTAATTAGATATCAAATATTAGAAAGGCTAGTTTCAAAAACACAAGAAATAGTTTTTAGTTTTACTTTCCTATTTCATACAAAAGGACAGTAACAATACACTGTTAGGGTAACAAATAATTTACATGTATATTGAAATTACATAGAACTAAATGCTTATCTCTTCAAATGTCCAAGGTTTTTATCCAATTAACTCTGGGGGGACTCTTTCCAAGCCTATTGAATACTTTTCTGCTTTCCTAAACATGGGGATACTGAATATAATTTCACCTTTTTTTAATGACTAAAGTTCATCATTCTAAGTATTCCTTATTACACTAAAACAGCATTAGTTTACCAATTTCCTCTTTACCTAGGATGTGTCTGCCCTTATAAACCCTCCTATCTCCATCTGGATTCACCTATTATATGCTTGCTTTATTTATTTATTTTTTTTAAGAGACAGGGTCTTACTCTGTTGCCTAGAGTGCAGTCCAGGGGCATATCATAGCTCACTGGAATCTTGAACTTCTGGGCTGAAGTTCTCAGCCTCCTGTCTCAGCCTCCTGAATAGCTGAAACTACAGGGGCTTATGACCACACCTGGCTAATTTTTAAAAATTTTATTAGAGACACAGTGTCACTATGTTACCCAGGCTGGTCTCTGACTCCTGGGCTCAAGCAGTCCTCCCACCTCGGCCTCCCAAAGTGCTAGGATTACAGGCATGAGACACTGCACCCAGCCTTGCTATATGCTGTCAAAGCACCTTGGAATTCTTCACAATACTTATTACACTTGTAATTGTACATTTATGTGAGATTTTATTACTATATATTCCATACTAAATTGTATAGACCATGAGGGCTGGTAGGTAGACCAGGCCTATTCACCATTAATGGCTGGTGTACAGCAGGTTCCTAATAAATACTAGCTGAATGACTAAATAAATAAATAACTACCTCAGTGCATAAACCCCTCTGCAATTTGCTGAGGAAATCTGGGAATCCAGGGATTCAGTCTTCCTAAAAACTATGTTTGTTTTTTAAAAAAGCAAGCCTTACATGAGAATGAAAGTAATCCTTTCATGGTATATAGGACCCCAACTTTAGGGTCTTTTGATAACTATTTTGGCTGTTAAGCATTTCCCCCCTTTTAGTGCCTGGAAAAAGTAGAGGTTATATGGATAAGTGCCCCTTAATAGCCATGGACTTTTTGAGCACTAAATCTCAATTTCCTTTTATAAAATGATGATGGTAATAGTCCCTACTCTGGTGGGATGTTGTGAGGATTCAGTAAAATAATGAAGTGCTTATCACACTGCCTGGTATGTACGAAGTGTTGATGTTAAGTGTTACTATTAGGTATATGTCATAACAGTAATAATGAGCTATCTTTCACATAAGAAAATACTGCTCTTGATCCATCACCAAAGTGTGTGTACTCTGAACTGTGTCATCAGGAGAGGTTAAAGGATTTGCTCAGAACAAATAATGGCGAGAATCCATTTGACCTCTCCCTATTATGATCAATGTTTTTAATGAAAATCTCATATTATGGCTTTAAAGCAAGCTGCTTGGCTTTCATTCATAATCTGTTTCCACTAAAAATTCACATTTGGCTATGGTTCTACTAATATCACAATTAGTTTATGAGATGTTGGAGATCTTATATATTCCAGGAAGAAGTTATGGAAAATTTCATAAAGGAAGTCCCACTGGAAATTAAAGTATAACTTTAATGCATGTATTTTAAAAATTCACTTTCCCTTTTATGATTTTATTTTTCATTTATTTATTTATTTTCACTCTTGTTGCCCAGGCTGGATGCAATGGCATGATCTTGGCTCACTGCAACCTCTGCCTTCTGGGTTCAAGTGATTCTGCTTCAGTCTCCCTTGTAGCTGGGATTACAGGCATGTGCCACCACACACAGCTAATTTTGTATTTTTAGTAGAGATGGAGTTTCTCCATGTTGGTCAGGCTGGTCTTGAACTCGACCTCAGGTGATCCACCCACTTCGGCCTTCCAAAGTGCTGGGATTACAGGCATAAGCTACTGCACCCGGCCCCCTTTTACTATTTTAAAGTGCATATAAAATTCTTTTCCATTTTTTAGTAGCTAATGAATTTGAAGAAGGGAAATATAATGCTTTACCATTACTACCGACAGCATTTTACACAAGAAACATTAGTAACTTAAGCTGTGGATCCTGTGATACACAGGATGTACACCTGACACAGATTTTGTAAATACATACTGGGCCTTGAACTTTATATAATAAAGTTTTTTTTAATCATAAAAGTCAAAGGGCGACTTACTTTTAAAGATGTATTACTTATAAAATAGTCCCAAAGTGTGAATTGTGCTTTCAGTTTGGGATATATGAACTAAAATGATGCACACTGGAGATGAATGTTTACCCCTGCTATAGATTTAAAGAACAGAATAGACATCTCAAGAATGCCAAATAAAATTAATTTTTCCCTTCCTTATCTAACTCCTTAAAGATTTAAATCACAAAGCTAAACAAGAAACCCTCTACTTTAACCAAGCTGTTTGTAAGGATAAGTAGCAGGATACAGAAATTCTCAAACCTATAAATATATAGGTAAAATTAAATGACTTTTCCTTTCAGGTGGAAGTCCAGCCTCTCAAATTGCATTTGAGAATCAAAGTTTTAACTGTTGTTGGAGACCATGGATTGAGGATGCACTGCTTTGGAGTTTCTCAGTAACTGTATCTTCTTTCAATGTAGTTTTGATTTCAGATACTCCACTCGTTCCCAGGATGCAAGGCAAACTTAAAAACACTTCACTATTTATATCATAATATCCCTGAAATGAGAAAAATAGGGATTATAATAGAACTAAATCACTGCAGGCCGGGCGCGGTGGCTCAAGCCTGTAATCCCAGCACTTTGGGAGGCCGAGGCGCGTGGATCACGAGGTCAAGAGATCGAGACCATCCTGGTCAACATGGTGAAACCCCGTCTCTACTAAAAATACAAAAAATTAGCTGGGCATGGTGGTGCGTGCCTGTAATCCCAGCTACTCAGGAGGCTGAGGCAGGAGAATTGCCTGAACCTAGGAGGCGGAGGTTGCGGTGAGCCGAGATTGCGCCATTGCACTCCAGCCTGGGTAACAAGAGCGAAACTCTGTCTCAAAAAAAAAAAAAAAAAAAAGAACTAAATCACTGCAAAGAAGGTAATACAAAAATGCATGCTTTCTTAGTTCTAGGACAAAGTGATACAAGTTGGACTTAAAAAAAATTTTTTGTTCATTTGTTTTGGTTTATTTTTATTTTTAATTTTTAGAAGTCCAGACCCCACAATTAATTGCACACTGATTTTATAAACTCAAGTTATCATTTCAGATAATTTTTGAGAGATGGAAGCAACTTGATCAGATACCCCCTTTGTAGAGAAGTAAGCTAGCCCCCCTGCAATATAAAAGTAAAAAGATAGTTAAGAATGGATTTCCTGGAGGGGCATGGGATGATCTCTAGGCACAGTCAAATTACAATAGCTTCTTTTAAAAAAAATTACTGGTACCATCATGGTGTGTATTTATGGCATACATGTGATATTTTGATGTATGCATACAATGTGTAATGATCAAATCAGGGTAATTGGGCTATCTATCACTTCAAACATTTATCATTTATTTGTATTGAAAACATTCCAAATGGTCTCTTCTAGCTATTTTTTCTTTTCTTTTTTGAGATGAGGTTTCTCTATATTGCTCAAGCTGGTCTTGAACTCCTAAGCTTAAGCGGTCCTCCCCCTTGGCTTCCCAAAGTGCTGGGATTACAGGCGTGAGCCACTGACACCTGGCCTCTTCTAGCTATTGTGAAATGTACAATAAGGCCAGATGAGGTGGCTCATGCCTGTAATCCCAGCACTTTGGGAGGCCAAGGTGGGCGAATCACGAGGTCAGCAGATCGAGACCATCCTGGCCAACATGGTGAAACCTTGTTTCTACTAAAAATACAAAAATTAGCTAGGCATGGTGGCGTGCGCCTCTAGTCCCAGCTACTTGGGAGGCTGAGGCAGGAGAATAGCTTGAACCCAGGAGACAGAGGTTGCAGTGAGCCGAGATCATGCCACTGCACTCCAGCCTGGTGACAGAGCGAGACTCCATCTCAAAAAAGAAAAAAAAAATACAATAAATTATTAATAATCACACTCACCCTACTATGCTATTGAAAACTAGAATTTATTCCATCTATCTATTTTTATACCCATTAACCAACCGCTTTTCATTCTATCTCCCAACCCCAGCCTCTGGTTAACAAACATTCTACTCCCTACCTCCATGAAATCAACTTTTTTTTTTTTTTTTTTTTTTTTTTTGAGACGGGGTTTCACTCTTGTTACCCAGGCTGGAGTGCAATGGCGCGATCTCGGCTCACCGCAACCTCCGCCTCCCGGGTTCAGGCAATTCTCCTGCCCCAGCCTCCTGAGTAGCTGGGATTACAGGCATGTGCCACCATGCCCAGCTAATTTTTTGTATTTTTAGTAGAGACGGGGTTTCACCATGTTGGCCAGGATGGTCTCGATCTCTTGACCTCGTGATCCACCCGCCTCGGCCTCCCACAGTGCTGGGATTACAGGCTTGAGCCACCACGCCCGGCCTCAACTTTTTTTTTTTAAAGCTCCTTCATGAGTGAGAATATGTAATATCTGTCTTTCTGGCACATAAGTCTGGGGTGACCTGGCTGGCTGAGATGATAAATGACAATCAGAAGAAATTTACGGATATATAAACACTATTTGGGGGTTGCCAAAAATTACATGAGGGTGAGAGGGCAACCTGATAGAAGTCCAGACCTTTTTTGTTTGTTTTTGAGAACAAGTCTCATTATGTAGGCTGGAGTGCAGTCCTGAGATCTTGGCTCACTGCAATCTCTGCCTCCTGCCTCAGCCTCCTAAGTAGCTGGGATTATAGGCACACGCCAATACACCCGGCTAATTTTTGTATTTTTAATAGAGACGGAGTTTCACCATGTTAGCCAGGCTGGTCTCAAACTCCTGACCTCAAGTGATCTGCCTGCCTCAGCCTCCCAAAGTGCTGGGATTACAGGCATGAGCCATTGCACCTGGCCAAGATTTTATTTTTGGAGACAGGGTTTTGCTGTGTTATCCATGCTGGAGTACGGTGACGTGATCACGGCTTACTGCAGCCTCAACCTCCCAGGCTCGAGAGATCCTCCCACCTCAGCCTACTGAGTGGCTTTCATATACCTGGTGAATTTTTGTTTTTGTTTTTGTAAAGATGAGATCTCACTACATTGCCCACGCTGACAGACTTCTCATAGCTAAGCAGGATACGGCTTAAACTAAACTGCTTTCTCCTACCTGTTACTCTAAAAGCTGGTGACACCGAAGACACCTGGGTTAGAGTACGAACAATGATTTTGCTGGTTTTGTATTAATAATATCTATGTTTAAAATATAATGAGAGAGTAAGAATAGCAATTACCTTTGCTAAAGTTGATACAGAATGCACTTTCTTCTTATTGTTTACAATACTGTCAACCATGTCAGCTACTGATAGTCCAACAGACCAGGATCTTTGACCTTTTACTCTTAGCAGTTCCATAGCTCTAGGATATAAAAACACTTGATCTCAGAAAATCTACAAAATATGCACATTTAGTTTTACATTCTGGTTAAGGTATTAATTAGATGTTTCTGTGACAGAAACAAGAGTTATTCAGCAATTGTTAGGGAAGCCTGTAGATGATCTAATGTTTATTTAAACTTTTCTTAAGATGTCAGATAGGCAGTTCCAAGAAAATACAAATGGCCTAGTAACATAAAAAATGCTCACTGCCATTGATATTTAACCATGAACTAAAGCAATAAATACCAATTTGCCTATCGATAACTGGCAAAAACTTAAAAGACTGATAACTAATTTGGAAAAACTATAAACAGGCATTCCCATAACTGCTATTGAGAGTGTAAAGTGATCTAACCTTTTAGGAAGAAGATTTGGGAACATCTGATCTAGAAATTCCTCTTCTAGGCATTTATATTACAGTAATATGCTCAAGTGTGCAAAAATATACATAATAAGCACGTCTGCCGTATTCGGAAACAACTCATCAAAAGAGGACTGGTTAAATAAATCACTACCAAATATAGTACCATGTAGCTTTTGAGAAGAATAAAGTGGATTTTACATGTACAATATGCAAAAATGTCTGAGATTTATCATTAGGGAAACAAATGAGGTTGCAAGATAGTATGAATAGCATAAATCTATTATTATTATTATTATTATACATTTGTGGAAGCATTGAAAAAAATTTTTTCTTTTTAGAGATAGGGTCTCTTATGTTGCCCAGGCTGGTCTCAAACTCCTGGGCTTCAGTGATCCTCCCTTTTCAGCCTCCTGAGTAGAAAAAAATTTTTTTTGGCATGTGGACACTAAATTGTTAACAATGGTTATTGCTGAAAGATGGAATTATCTTAGCTTTTTAATTTCTTTTAATACTTTATAGATACCTGCAGTATTTGAAGTTTTATAATAAGCATACATTCTTTTATAAATGGTAAAAATATATAAACTCTTAAATTTCTTCCTTTTAAAAAGTATGAATGCAGAATTGTGTAATCAGATTAGAATGAATTATATCATACATTAGTCTCAATAAGAAAGAGAAAAGAGAACACTTTTTCTAGTTGTTATATTCTTTTTTTTTTTTTTTGAGGACCACAAACATTTTTACTTTTATTGTACGTACTTTGTGTTACACTCTACATTGTTCACTAGTCTGATACACGACATATTGAGGAATGTTATTTATAAAATACCCAAAACCTTTCAAGTTTTTGCTCATAAATTTCACCATGTGCTCAAAAATAATTTATATCCCCGGGCACAAATTTCATTTCTTTCTTCATAATAACCACAATATGAAACAATTATTAGTAACTATTGCAAAAGAACACAAAAATGGATGCAAGAGGAAAACAACCCATTTACACAGTAGTTTATAAACAAGCTAAGGCCTGAGAAATGAATTCTAGAACTAAATTCAGTTTTTTCCATAAACCAAAGTTCTATTATCTTACCTACAAATCATGTATAAATACTTCTGAAATAGGCTTAGAATAAACCCATTTTGAATCACTCAGCACAGTTCAAAGACAAAAAGCTAAGATCTTTTGTAGAGAAAAGCCTTTTTAAAAATTTTTTATTTTTTGCAGGGCTGCCCCATAGGCTGTGCGCCCTGAGTAGCTGAGAAAAGCCTTTTAAAAACCCAAGAGATGTCCTTCACACAAACCAAACCCTGATTTTGCATGTAATGGACTGTTGATTTGGCTTAATTTTATCATACACAGGACTTGCCACCACAGTGAAGGGAAGACAAAGGCTAACAACAAAAGAAATCACAAATACAATACATTTCAATTGAGAGCAGGTACTGTTTATTAACTGACCAGCTTAGAAAAATAATCATGGGAGACACCTTAGTTCATTCTTCTAATAAGCCTGTTGATCTGATCCTCCCTGTTGCCTGCATCTCCACCTTCTACAAAATGGGTGGTCTTTTTCTTCATTCCGCCCCGTGGAGAAGACAATTTAAAGGGCCACAGGAAGTTATTTGCTGCTTTGAAGCGTTTTCCAACAGTATAGATCTCATGAATCAGATCCTCCATGCAGATGATGCCGTATTTTCCAAGAGATCGAGCAATCAGAGCGTTATCTGTCAAAGCAATTCGCTTCTTTTTGATTTTGCCATAACCACGTTTGTAGATTAGTTCATTTACTGACTTCAGATTTGGGTACCCCCATGCAATATATGGCTCTACAATCCGCAGCATGTTAATTGAAGCCTTGTTGAGCTTCACAAAGGTTCCATTGAAGATTTGACGAAGGCGAAGAAGCTGCAACACCTTTCGGACCTTTGGGCTCACACCATTGATACCTCTGATCCTGATGACAAACGCCAGTTTGGGTTCTGCAGGTACATAGAAGTTGCCAGCTTTCCTTGCCATCCTTGCCATTCGAATTTCAGTTCTGTACATCTGCCTATATTCCTTGTGATAATGCTTCGCTTTTTCATAGATAAGCGTCCTCCTTGCCTTTCGAAGCATCTTTTGGGCAAACTTCTTTCTCAGGCGCTTAATCTTCAGCTCTGCGAAATTCCTTCGCTTTTTCTTAAGGGTTTCCGGCACAGCAGGAACCTTCTTATTCTTCTCTTCTACACCCTCCATGGTTCCAGCCGGAAAAAGAGCTAGTTGTTATATTCTAAAAGTCATAAGCTGACGGCTTGGAAAGCTAAAAATCAATGTCTCCCAAGCTTCAGGAAAATGTTATTATATGACAGTGAAACAACAAATGGCATGAAAATAAATTCTGTGTAGAGTTCAGCCTATGGGGTACAGACCCCTGGAAGGCCTCTGGTTAAAAGATACAAGGATCTGCGTGTTATGCTTTTTTTTTTTTTTTGGCCTGAACATATAATATAGCTTATCCATTCATATTAGACTAATTTCCAGATCTATTTATGTGTGATTAATAGATATTCATTTTTAAGTGGTATGGACAAATTATCTTCTACATTAAGAAAATTGTTAATATCCTCAGATGCTTAGATAATAGAAGTAGTAAATCACTGTCTACAGATAAAGAACATACGTTACCCTTTAAATGTCAACTGTGTTATCTGAAAAAGCTTGCAAAGCACTCTTAGATCTACCTTCAGATATCAAAGAATATAAAACACTGCTCCTTTATACTTTTGGATTTTTTTTGTCCATACTAGTTAGTTTTGTTTCCAGAAGCCTGGTAAGTACATACTGTATAAAGAGCTGTTAGCTAGGAAGTACATGATTTTTTGTTGGATAAATGCAAATTTCTGGTCGGTGTTACCTGTTGGACAGCTGCACTTGGTAGGTATGACTCATGACTTCTTCTTGGCTACTCCAGGTAAGCACTAAAAATTAGATGAAGAATTAATTATATTTTGCCAATGACTCTCTTTGGATTAAGATGTGATAACTATTTTACAGTCAAGGGTACTTGTGTTAATATTTATATAGAAGTTTTCTCATTTCTAGCAAGTTACATTTTTTCCACTGATGGCAATACCACTGGCCCAAGGTGAGGAAAACTGAACTACAAAAAACATAATCCGGCCGGGCGCGGTGGCTCAAGCCTGTAATCCCAGCACTTTGGGAGGCCGAGGCGCGTGGATCACGAGGTCAAGAGATTGAGACCATCCTGGTCAACATGGTGAAACCCCGTCTCTACTAAAAATACAAAAAATTAGCTGGGCATGGTGGCGCGTGCCTGTAATCCCAGCTACTCAGGAGGCTGAGGCAGGAGAATTGCCTGAACCCAGGAGGCGGAGGTTGCGATGAGCCGAGATCGCGCCATTGCACTCCAGCCTGGGTAACAAGAGTGAAACTCCGTCTCAAAAAAAAAAAAAAAAAAAAAACCAAAAAAAAAAAAACATAATCCCCAAAGTCTACTTACAGGCTCCTTACCTGTTCTGTCTCATCGATAACAGTTCTGCAAGGGTCATTTTACTAAGCAGAAATCTGCAAGCACTTGACATTTGTTCTGCTGAGAAAGGCACTGAGACTGATTTCACCACGTAAGGAATAATTTGATCACCTATTTTGGGCTAGAGTTTCTACAGCTGTTACAGAGGCAGAATTCTGTTTCCATTTTTTTTTTTTTTTTTTTTTTTTTTGAGGTGCAGTCTTTGTCTGTGGCCCAGGCTGGAGTATAGCGGTTCCTTCTTGGCTCACTGCAACCTCTTCCTCCCAGGTTCAAGCAATTCTCATGCCTCAGCCTCCTGAGTAGCTGGGAGGTATGTGCCATCACACCCTGCTGTTTTTTTTTTTTTTTTGTATTTTTAGTAAAGATGGGGTTTCACCATGTTGGCCAGGCTGGTCTCGAACTCCTGACTTCATAATCCACCTGCCTCAGCCTCCCAGAGTGCTGGGATTGCAGGCATGAGCCACTGCACCCAGCCCCAGGGTCCTGTTTTCTAAAAGCATCTTCTGGGTTACCAATTTCCTCTTACCACATCAGGTATAAAAACAATTCAAAACCTCAAAGCTGTATACACAGAGGGAAATTCGTGTGTGTGTGTGTGTGTGTGTGTGTGTGTGTGTGTGTGTGTGTGTGTGTATTATATTTTTTAATTTTTTTGAGATGAATTCTTGCTCTGTTGCCAGGTCTGGAATGTAGTGGTACGATCTCAGCTCACAGCAACCTCCGCATCCTGGGTTCAGGCGATCCTCCTGCCTCAGCCTCCTGAGTAACTGGAACTATAGGCACCCACCACCATACCCGGCTAATTTTTGTATTTTTAGTAGAGATGGGGTTTCGCCATGTGAGCCACACAGGTCTCAAACTCTTGACCTCAGGTGATCCACCCACATTGGCCTCCCAAAGTGGTAGGATTACAGGTGTGAGCCACCACACCTAGCCAGACTGGAAATTTAGATCATACTTTAATATTAGTATTATTATTTGAAATGTAGTCTCACTTTGTCATCTAGGGTGGAGTGCAGTGGCACAATCTCGGCTCACTTCAACCTCTGCTTTCTGGGTTCAAGCAATTCTCCTACCTCAGCCCCAAAGTAGCTGGGCTTACAGGTGCCTGCCACCACATCTGGCTAATTTTTGCATTTTTAGTAGAGACAGGATTTCACCATGTTGGCCAGGCTGTCTTGAACTCCTGACCTCAGGTGATCTGCCTGCCTTGGCCTCCCAAAGTGCTAGGATTACAGGCGTGAGTCACCATGCCCAACTGTACTTTAATATTTAATTGAAGTTGCCAGTAACATTTTGAAACCTTTCCAATATTCATCTGTTTCTCATCTGTGTAAAGACATTCTTTGGTACAAATCTGTAGATATTTGAGTAGGCAAAACAAAAATACCTGTGGCTATATAAGAATATCTTATGTTTAACTTTCAAATAACTAGAAGAGTGAATTTTGAATGAGGAAATGATAAATGTTTGAGGTGATAGATACACTAATTGCCCTGATCATGGGCAAAATATATCAATGTACACATGCAGCAAACTATCACACTGTGCCCCAGAAATATGTACAATTACTATGTGTCAATTAAATACCAGTTGGTATTTACACATGAAACCAGCAGAGGGAGCTTCTAATCCATTTCTGACACCAGGACCAAGGTAAATATACCTATCCATGGATATAACTAGCTCTTCAAGAAGAGTAGGAGACTGAATAAAAAGTGCTCAGACAAAACCTCTAGACGGTAGACAGGGAGATGAACAGGAGGGAAGTACCTAGTTAACGTCAGTATTGGTAATGTTCTTGATTGAGTATGGATTCATAAGTGTTATGTTTTCATGTGTGTCAAATATTACATAATACTTTATGTGATCTCAATTTGCATGCACCTACATCTCTCTATTTCTAGTTCCAATCTGAGGCCTCAACACAGAATTACCATATCTCTACCCTGTGCTTTTATCCTACATCCCTTGGACTTCTTTCAGAGCATGTCAGAACAGCCTTCCAGTCATTTCCAGTATTAAAGTTTCCTAAAGACAGGGTCAGGTTCCTACACATCTATATGTTCTAACAGTCAACACAGTGTTTACTGAGCAAAGCAGGTGATCAATAAATGTTTCTGAATACAAATTCCTACATTTGGGATAATAGGTCATTTAATCAAACACAAACTGCTTTTTGGTAGGTTTTAAATTGTTCCTGTCTGAAGAGCTCACAATTAACTTCTATTAGACTGTTTTCTTCCTTCACCCAGATATACTAGGTTAGGGCAAGCGGTATATTTATCATGTCACATCAGCCTATATTTTCTCTTTATGAGACTTGAGAAATTAATACAACCATATTTCAAACATTCTTACTCATTCCATATTTATTATATATCAACTATTCCTCAAAACCTGTAACTTACTAGAGAGGCTGGTTAAATAAATTATGGCATATCCAGTAGTTAAAAAGAATGAATGAACTCGTATGTTAATGTGCAATCATTCAACAATCATAATGGTAAGTAAAAGGGCAATGTGGAAAATGATATATGATATGTCTATTTCACATGTGTGCTTGTCTATACACAGAATATTTCTAAAAGATTATATAAGAGACTGGAAACTGTGATTGTCCCTATGGTGAAGGATTGAATGTCTGGCATCTAAGGGAGACTTTTCACTGCATATCTTTTTGTACTTATTTTTCCAGTGTGAATGTCCTACTTTTTCAACTAAAAGAACTTAATAATTTACACTTTAAATAAGGAGAAGATCACACACAAAAATCAAATTAGATAAGAACAAGCAACAGTACAACAAAAGAAACATCATGAGACAATATGTAGTTTATTACCATATAGTTGAAATAGCTTTAGCTCAAAGGAGTGAAGAAATCACTGTGGAGTGATGTAATCAGGAAAAAACCTTTATCGTTTAAGGGGTGCTTGACTTAGACCTTGAAAGATGAGCTTTGAATTAGATGGCAGAGAAGGCGAAGGGATTATAAAGGAGGTAAACGGAGTGGGTAAATGTGCCTGTGGCAAAGCTGTGGTGTGGGCCTGGGAGGCACAAAACCTGGGTGCTAGTCCTTTGACCCCAAAAGCTGTAGGATTCTAGGCAGGTCACTTTTACAATGGCTGCATCCAGTGGCTCCCTAAAACAAAATGTAATAGATGGTCCCTTTCAGCTCTCTAGTAACATGGCTATCTCCCTAACTATAATTGGGAAGAAAGATTAGGGCTATATTTTGGGGATTCCTGAGTGCCAAGCAATGGAATTTAATGGTTTGGTCAGAGGAAGCCTCTGAAAATTTCTGAAAAGAACAACATGTTTTAGGAAGATTGACTTAATATGTGATAGCACAGAGTAAACGCTATGTAAGTTTCGACTAATTATTAATTTCACATTATTTACAGGGTAGACTAAAGGGGAAGAGGCAAACTAACTGGGAGATGTGCAATAATCAGGCAAGCAAGAGATTAACATGGTCTATATTGGGTTTTGGGTTTGTTCAAAACCCTAGACATTCATTACTTGAATACATTTGCTCCAAGTTCTTGTTTGCTATCCTTTTCCAGGGTCCTGTTGATTAGTGTGTAGTGTCAGGGAGCATCTGGAGCCTCAAAAGTGTTTTTGTTCAGTCACACTGTTGGGATTTTTTTTTTTTTTTTTTTTTTTTTTTGAGACAGAGTCTTGCTCTGTCACCCTGCTGGGGTGTAGTGGCGTGATCTCGGCTCACTGCAACCTCCATTTCCAGGGTTCAAGTGTTTCCCCTGCCTCAGCCTCCCCAGTAGCTTGTGCTACAGGCGTGCGCCACCACGTCTGGCTAGTTTTTTTGTGTGTTTTAGTAATACAGGGTTTTGCCATGTTGGCCAGGATGATCTCAATCTCCTGACCCCGTGATCTGCCTGCCTAGGCTTCCCAAAGTGCTGAGATTACAAGAGTAAGCCACCACACCCAGCCGACTCTGGGGTTTTTTTAAGGGTTTATTCTACAGCCTGACTCATTCTAGCACTGAGCTTTCTAGTAGCCAGTGCAGATTTTTGGATTTAAAATACTGCTATATTTTATTTAAATGCTTTTCTTAAAAATTATATAATTTTTTTTTTTTTACTACACAGAAAACTACAAATTTTTAAGTTACCCCTAACCTGGATATCATCAATGTTACATTTTATTTTAATGGCATCAAAGTATAGATGAAGCTTTAAATTCCAAGGAAATAGTTTTGAGAAGGTGATTTGCTTTGTGGAAATATGGTCTGACATCTATTTAACTTTTTAACGTGCATGGTCTTTCTCTAACTCTGCAATTAAATTATCACCTCCTCAAAGGCAGAGAGGTTATTTTCTACGTCAAGCTCTACCTTGCAGCACTTACGTGCTGAATGAAGTTAATAAGTACTTCAAATGATGAAGTAATAACTAATTTCCCCCAAATCACTTTCCAACTCTTCAATGAGATATTCACAGATCTTCAAAATGTAATTTCAGTTAGGCTTATCTAGTTGAAACCTTCTACACATTTTTTATCCCATGAACATGCCATACTTAACGATGTGTTTTTACCTAATTCTGATTTCCCATTCCTAGAATGTTTTACCTAGTCTTCACTATCTTTTTTTTTTTTTTTGAGACAGAGTCTTGCTCTGTCACCAGGCACCAGGCTGGAGTGCAGTGGTGCGATCTCGACTCACTGCAACCTCCACCTCCTGGGTTCAGGCAATTCTCCTGCCTCAGCCTCCCAAGTAGCTGGGACTACAGGTGTGTACCACCATGCCCAGCTAATTTTTATATTTTAGTAGAGATGGGGTTTCACCATGTTGGCCAGGATGGTCTCGATCTCTTGACCTCGTGATCTGCCCGCCCCAGCCACCCAAAGTGCTGGGATTACAGGCATAAGCCACTGTGCCCGGCCCTTCACTGTCTATTAAAATCCTATTCATTCGTCCAAACTCCAGTTCAAACTCCAGATGGCCTTTACAGAATTTTCTCTAGTCATTTCAACCCACGTTAAATGCTCACTCATAAGTATCTAAGCACTGTAAGTATATAATACTCAGTTTGGCACTTACTCAAATAGTACTATATCTTTATTGTACTCATATACTTAAATGAAAAAAATCAGGGTAAACAGTGCTTTCATCACTGATCAACCTGGCTTTATAGCAAGAGAGAAACAATAAAGGAGTAAAGGAAGAGATTCTCAAGTCAAACAAGCAAAGCATTTGTTTGAAACAGGAAAAGAAGCTTTCCATTATGGGAAACTGAATGTCTTTTGTAGTAGGGAGAGAGCAAGTGGTTGGCAAAAAAGGCCACAGGGATAAACAATGAATAAAATTCTGTTTAAAAAGAAGCAGACAGGAGGCATGTATCTAGGGAAAAGGTCTGAACTTGGGAAAGGTAAGCAAGGATGAAGGGTGGGGAGAGTAAAAGAGTTCTATATATGCTTTAGGGTTTATTTAAATGTTTCTTTCTGGAAAATTAAACTTTAAAATTAATCCTGGACTCTGAAATTCAATTAAAAAATATAAAATCCTACTAAGCGGTCTTGTCTAACCTCAAACTTACGGAAAAGTAATTACAATGAAAATGACACATATGAAGGATTTATTCACAATATAGGGGCTACTATACAGAAGGCACCCAAATGTGGAACAAAGTCAATTAAGCCCACAATTCTGGAGTCCTCAGATATATGTGAATGCCATGACCACTGGCAATTTTGGTTATAACTAATATAAATGTACTTCTTTTTTCAGTGACAGGGTTTCACCCTGTCACTCAGGCTTAAATACAGTGGTACAATTCATGGCTCACAGCAGCCTTGACCTCCTGGGCTCAAGTGAGCTTCCCACTCAGTCTCTCGAGCAGCTGGGACTTCTCGAGGCATGAACTACTAAAAGATTAGTGCCTGGCTAATCTTTTACATCTTTTTGTAGAGATGGGGTCTTGCTTTGTTGCCCAGGCTGGTCTTGAAGTCCTGGCTTCAAGCAATCCTGCCCTGGCCTCCCAAAGTGTTAGAATTATAGGCATGAGCCACTACACCCAGGCTGAAAATGTACTTCTTACCTTTGTCTTCTCCTTGCTCGCCAATAACCCATACTTCTCTGCCCGAAGTCTGTGCCTTCAAAACATTTGTAATAATATACTGTAATCTCTGTGAATCCAGATTACATCCAATTCCAATCACTCGATTTGCAGGAAATGCACTCAGTTTCCATGTCACATAAGTCATGATTTCCACTAAATATTGCATACAAGGTAAAAATGTAAAAGTTAAAAAATATCTACTTTTAGCCTAGCTCACAAAATATTTATTATTTTAATAAGTATGTTAGGGCCTCTATATACTCTTCTTAGATCCTCAAGGAATTGAAGCATAGCATACTTTTGATATACATTAATAACACTAACAAGGTTTCAACAAGATCAATTTTACTATGTATGTGTGGTTTTTTGGTTTTTTTTTGAGACGAAGTCTTGCTCTGTCCCCCAGGCTGGAGTGGCACCATCTAGGCTTACTGCAACCTCTACCTCCCAGGTTCAAGCGATTCTCCTATCTCAGTCTTCCTAGTAGCTGGGATTACAGGCGTGCACCACCACACCCAACTAATTTTTTGCATTTTCTTATATCCCAAAAGGATGTCAAGAATTCACCATGTTGGCCAGACTGGTATCGAACTCCTGACTTTAGGTAATCCACTTGCCTCAGCCTCCTAAAATTCTGGGATTACAGGCATGAGCCACCACACCCAGCCAAATTTTATTACGGGTATTGATCAACTTACGACCTATGCAACTTACGACCATTCGACTTTATGACCACAATTGCTAGCCACGACTGCTCTGCGTCTGGCAGCGCAAACGTTGCCCAGCTGGGCGTACGACAGTGCAGACCAGCTTCTGGCAGCACTACCATCTCCGCGTGCACCATTTCAACTGTACATATAGCCTACTCAACTTACGACCAAATCGTGTTACGACTGGTCTGCCAGTCCCAATCGTGGTTGTAAGTCAAGCACTAGCTGTATTAAACATAAATTGTCAGGGGTAGAAAATAGATAATTCCTAGAATAGTTAAGCGAGGATAAAAACTGGGTACAGAATTGGCCGGGCGCGGTGGCTCACACCTGTAATCCCAGCACTTTGGGAGGCTGAGATGGGCGAATCACCTGAGGTCAGGAGTTTGAGACCAGCCTGACCAACATGGAGAAATCCCATCTCTAAAACAAAAACAAAAACAAAACTGGGTACAGAAAACCAGAAAATAATAATTTCCCTTTATTGATCAAGTTTTCTTCTACATCTATCTTAAACTGAATTTCTATCTTTAAATTAAAATACTGATTCATATGCCACCATGATTCAGTGTAGCATTATGAATGAAAATACAGCTACTTTTTTTTTTTACATCCCAAAAGGATGTCAAGAATTAAAGAGATCAATGTACCTCAACAATTACTACAGAAAAACAAGTGAAATGCATACAATACCCCTACCTCGGGAACATTTTAAAAAATCTGTTCACCAATTTGAGTCTAGCACAAACTAACTCTGAAAATATTTCTATTTTTGAGTATGACAGTTCCAAAACAACCTGAAAAATACAAAATGTTAAAAATGCACTCTGGCTTGCTAACATTGTGTGACACTTTGGAATTAACAAAATATCATGCAAGTCACTGCATTTTTCTCTTGGGAGTTTAAACATCTTCTCACTGAGGAAGGCACAGCTTAGAACCTAGAATATAATATCATATTTCATTAAAAAATTGTACATTGGAACCTTCTAGATAATGTTAGTCATAAAAAGGAACTGGTAAATACACTATTTATTATACAGGCAATTTTGCTGAATATTATAGCCATCTCTTTATAATTAAAGTTTTTATTTTCTTTTTGAGACAGAGTGTCACTCTGTCGGCCAGGCTGGAGTGCAGTGACACCATTTCAGCCTCATTGCAACCATCATTGCCTCCCGGGTTCAAGCAGTTCTCCTGCCTCAGCCTCTTAAGTAGCTGGGACTACAGGCACCCATTACCATCCCTGGTTAACTTTTGTATTTTTAGTAGAGACGGGGTTTCACCATGTTGGCCAGGATGGTCTTGAACTCCTGACCTCAGGTGATCTGCCAGCCTCAGATTCCCAAAGTGCTAGGATTACAGGTGTGAGCCACTGTGCCCTGCCCTAAAGTTTTATGGTTTTTATCAGTAATGGCAATTCTACTGATGCACTGGACCATCGAGTTAATGTAAAATAAAGCATTTTACCTGGCTGAGATGCAACGAGCAGGACACTGTGTGGACTATAATGTCCCAGAGCTGGGACAAGGGCTCTGAACATATCCACATTGCTCTGTACCACATCAAGGTAGGACTGAGAACTACCCAAAGAGTTGACTGTGAAGATCACCACCTTGGAATGAGCCGAGGCAGACAAATCTAGTGAATGAAAAGAAACAGTCTGAGCTCAAGATATATGCTTTAATCAAGTTCTATTTCATGATTAAAAGGTTTTTCAACAAATGCCTAGCTTTTAGGCATGCCTCCCATAAATCAACTGCATATCCACAAAAGCATACAAAATGCTGAGGTTTGTCTACAAAAGGAGGATTAAGAATAAGTGTTGGCTGGGTGTGGTGGCTCACGCCTGTAATCCCAGCACTTTGGAGGCTGAGTCTGGTGGATCACTTAAGGCCAGGACTTCAAAAACAGCCTGGCTAACATGGCAAAACCCCACCTCTACTAAAAATACAAAAATTAGCCAGGTATGGTGGTATATGACTGTAGTCCCAGCTACTCAGGAGGCTAAGTCAGATTCAGTTGAACCCGGGAAGCGGAGTTTCAGTGAGCTGAGATCTCACCACTGTATTCCACAGTCTCAAAAAAAAAAAAAAAGAGTAAGAGTGTATCCCAAGGGGAGAAGATAGCAATAGTGATAAAAAATAAATAAATAAATTATGGGATCTAAAACTTACAAACAAGAACTGAGTTTTTTATATAATTTTTTTTTTTTTTTTTTTTTTTTTTTTTTTTTGAGACGGAGTTTCACTCTTGTTACCCAGGCTGGAGTGCAATGGCGCAATCTCGGCTCACCGCAACCTCCGCCTCCTGGGTTCAGGCAATTCTCCTGCCTCAGCCTCCTGAGTAGCTGGGACTACAGGCACACGCCACCATGCCCAGCTAATTTTTTTGTATTTTTAGTAGAGACGGGGTTTCACCGTGTTGACCAGGATGGTCTCGATCTCTTGACCTCGTGATCCACCCGCCTCGGCCTCCCAAAGTGCTGGGATTACAGGCTTGAGCCACCGCGCCCGGCTTTTATATAATTTTTAAGGGAAAATAAATATTATGCTATAGGAAAAATGAACCTATAATCAATTACACCACTGATTCCTAAACTGTGAGCTTAGGTACCCTAAAGTTCCTTGAAAGACTCAGAGGCCATCAGGGAGGAGTGGAAATAAGTGGGAAGAAGGCTGGTAAGCATGGCTCCAGGCCACTTACTTTGGCCTACCCAAGCACAGTAGTGCTGCTTTTTAAAAATCTGTTTTATTTATTAAGGATTCTGCTCTAAAGAAAAAAAATCTGGTGTAAAAATCTCTAAATTAAATAACTTAGCTTTGTTTTTTTTTTTTTTTTTTTTTTAGAGACAAGGTCTCACTATATTGCCCAGGTGGGACTTGAACTCCTGGACTCAAGTAATCCTCCTGCCTCCGCCTCCACGCCTCCTGAGTAGCTGAGACTACCGCACCTGCCTCTTGGCTCATTTTAAACTAACTTTTCTTATACTGAAGCCCAGCTGTCCTTGGGTAACTACTTCTTTCAATGGGAACTACAGGTAATCAACTGTTATGACTTAGGAAAAGCTAGTCTATGGAGTTCACTCTGACTTCAGAGCACCTTTGATCTTCCAGCACATGTTATGCTATTACAACTATATTACTCTCTACTGCACAGTGTTTTTACAGTAAGCATGTGCCCAAACCATGGCCAGATGTTACCAGCATCAGAAATAACAGAACCATAATCAAGTAATTAGAATGGCACCAGTCCAGTCAACATTTGCAAATGAATATTTGAGTATTAGCCTCCCAGGGAAACGGTAGACTCCATGGTTTATATTCTTAATTAAGCCTTTAAGGACAACTTTTTTTTTAATTTTTTTTTTTTCTCTTATTGCCCAGGCTGGAGTGCAACAGCATGATTTCGGCTCACCGCAACCTCCACCTCCCGGGTTCAAGCGATTCTCCTGCCTCAGCCTCCAAAGTAGTTGGGATTGCAGGCGTGTGCCACCGTGACCGGCTAATTTTGTATTTTTAGTAGAGACGAAGTTTATCCATGTTGGTCAAGCTGATCTCGAACTCCCAAACTCATGTGATCTGCCTGCCTCAGCCTCCCAAAGTGCTGGGATTGCAGGGGTGAGCCACTGCACACGGGTGATGCCATCTTTCTGAACAAGTTTCAGAAGGAAACACTTGGGCAATGTGTCCACTGGGAGACGCATTATCCAATTTTACTTCCTATTCTGACACAGTTGTAGTGATGGTAGACTTAAACACTAAGTCCTAGATTTTAATTATGGTTCTTCATGAGTCCTCTTAAGTAATTCCTATGTTGTAGGGTTCACAGTGGACACCTGGTGATAAGTCAAAATCTCAAGAACTGGAAGACATTAGAACTGGAAGGGATATAGTTAACAATTCTATATGTGTCTAACAGTTTCGCATATATTTATTTACTTAATCTAATCAACAACACACAATGGAATATTTTACAAATGAGAAATCTGAAGCACAGAGAAGTTAAATAACTTGCTCAAAGTCACAGAACTGATAAGTAGAGCCAGAGGTTAAGCCCATGCAGTCGACTTCAAAGTGCTATTAAACACTATGCTACATTTAGAAACTTAGTCCTACGCCCTCTTGAAGATGAGGAAACTATTACTTGGAGAGGTTAGGTGGCCTGTCCATATTATGAAATATCAGTGGACAGTTCAATTTGTAACTCTACAGTCTGGCCCCAGGCTATCATGATTATTTCTTTTCTTTGCTCCTTTAGCTTCCTCTACTTTCGATGACAGAAATGCCCTCATCTTCAAGATTGATTTTCGAGTAAACATAGTAGTGCCTGTCTGATTTTCTTTCTCTCTCTCTCTCTTTTTTTTTTTTTTTTGGCACAGGATCACACTCTGTTGCCCAGGCTGGAGTGCTGTCTTGGTTCACTGCAACCTATGCCTCCCAGGTTCAAGCGATTCTCCTGCCTCAGCCTCCATAGTAGCCGGAATTACAGGCACCCACCACCGCACCCAGCTAATTTTTGTATTTTTAGCAAAGATGGGTTTCACCATGTTGGCCAGACTGGTCTCAAACTGCTGACCTCAGGTGATCCCCCTGCTTCAGCCTTCCAAGTGCTGGGATTACAGGCATGAGCCACTGCGCCCGGCCCCTAATATGATTTCAAAAGTATAAGAAAGGATTCCTACTCCAAAAGATTTTTCCATCAGGCTCTCAGGCCTTTTAATAAGTTCTTCTGAGTTTACTATTTATTTATTTTTTTGAGACAGAGTTTTGCTCTTGTTGCCCAGGCTGGAGGGCAATGGCGCGATCTTGGCTCACTGCAACCTCTGCCTCCCAAGTTCAAGCAATTCTCCTGCCTCAGCCTCCCGAGTAGCTGGGATTACAGGTGACTGCCACCATACCCAGCTAATTTTTGTATTTTTGGTAGAGACAGGGCTTCACCATATTGGCCAGGCTAGTCTCCAACTCCTGACCTCAGGTGATCCACCTGCCTCGATTTCCCAAAGTGCAGGGATTACACGCATGGGCCACTGTGCCCGTTCTCCTTTGAGTTTAAAAACCAGTATTTCTTTTATTTTAAAGTTTTCTCTTAGACATGGGGCTTGCTATGTTGCCCAGGCTGCATTGAAATCCCTGGGTTCAAACAATCCTCCAACCTCAGCCTGCCAAGTAGCAGGGACTACAGGTGTATGCCACAGCACCCAGCTTAGTATTTCTTTAAATTCTCCTACAAAAACTTGTGATTCAGGATGAACTGGTCTATATTCATTCCCTGGTCTATATTCATTCATTTGACCAGCTCCCAATATATCAATTTTACCAAATTTACCTAATGTTTCTGATACTGGCTTTTGCTCAAATTCTCACTGCACTTACGTTTGACAAACATCTGCTAAACTATGTCAAACATACTATGAGCTCTGGGAGAACAGGGATTATATGTGTCTTTTTCATCTTTCCATCTCCAAGATCTAGTCGCGTAGCAATTGGTACATTTCCCCCAGCTTTCTGCCAGTCCGAATCTCCCCAGTCCCAAAAGAACCAGCAACTATCTCAATCCTAATAAGCCAAAAGCAATCTCTGTTTCCACCCAACTTTGAGTCCTCACTGTCTGGACCACTCTCTTGGCATTAATCACATAATGTCTCCTTACTCTCTTGTCATGAATGATTGTTTACATATTGCATATGTCTTTTTATCTAAACTTTAAGCTGCTCTGACCAAGTAGAGTCTTCCATTTCTATCAATCCCTTGCAACAGTTCTTTTTTTTTTTTTTGAGACTGAGTTTCGCTCTAGTTACCCAGGCTGGAGTGCAATGGCGCGGTCTCGGCTCACCGCAACCTCCGCCTCCTGGGTTCAGGCAATTCTCCTGCCTCAGCCTCCTGAGTAGCTGAGATTACAGGCATGTGCCACCATGCCCAGCTGATTTTTTGTATTTTTAGTAGAGACAGGGTTTCACCATGTTGACCAGGATGGTCTCGATCTCTTGACCTTGTGATCCACCCGCCTCGGCCTCCCAAAGTGCTGGGATTACAGGCGTGAGCCACTGCGCCCGGCGCAACAGTTCTTAAATCCTAGGCTAGGTGCCTAAGCATAACCTGGGAAGCTTAATAAAAATGCAGATTAGCCCATGTTCTAAAGATTTTACTTAAATATGTAAGGGGAAACAGGAAATAGCTTTCAGGAATGCAAACCCCCAGATGATTCTGATGCACAGCCAGGTTTGGTTAGCACTGCTCCACAGGCAACTAAGTTCCTTGTACCTGGCACTGAAAATCTTTGACTCTTCAAGTCTTCCCTTACAAGTTGATGATTTAATAATGAAAGAAGATTATACAGTTACAAAGAGAATTAGAAAGAACTTTAAGCATGATTATATAAAGCTATAAATTACAAGGATAAAAGTTCATTCGAGAATAATGAATTCAACAAACCCTTACCAAGGTCCTGTTATGTCACAAGTAATGTGTTAGGCCCTAAGAACTCAAAATTGAACACAATATTGTCCCTATTCTATATATCACACAATATAGTAGTACAAGAGTTAGTCAGGAGAGCTTCAGAATGAGACTGTCTGGTTGAAATATCAGCTGTCCCACTTACACATTAGCATAATGGTAAGTTTCCTTCCATGCCAAGAA